CCGTTGTCGTAATAATAGGCAGTGCCCAATCCGTTTGACAAAGTGTCGCGAGTTTGTTTATACGATTTACTCGGATCGACTCAATATAAAAGACACGTGTATGTAAACTTGTGATGATCGTAATTATTGTGTAACGCGTCAAATACGTCGTCGCTCTGAGTAGGCATCACGCAGTCGTAAAATATTCTTCTCATGGTGTAATATACGTGAAAGTTGAACAAAATTGACTCGTATGGATTGGGGTCGGACAGCAAATCAAAACGTACGCCGCAGGCCGTCGCGTTGTCGCGCAGTACACCGCAAATTTAAATTGCTTTTGATAGAACGAAATCGGTTCAGTTGTCCAACGATTGACCGCTTCGTCCGTGGAGACTTTCGGTAATTTATACGCGTGCGTTAAATTGGAAAACTTGGCTAAACACCAGTTGTCTTTATTGACTACGATCGATAAATGACTAAATTTTGCTCCCATTTATTTCATACGTCTTTAAAAGGAGGTGCCGTTGGTTTTATGTCTTGGTACGACGGAGGCAGGTCTTCGTATTTGACAGACTTTGTAAAACTTATTCGCCAATTTTTTTCTTAAGATCTTTTTTTAAAACGGCCGCTCGTTCGTTGGCAAGCGCTTCTGCTCTTTCGTTGACTTGTCGTTCAAATTCTTTACTCGTCGATTTACTTTCTTGTAGTTTGGTAGACGTATCTTTTCCTTCATTTCGTTAAACTTTTTCAGCTCAGATAATCAGTACAAATTCTTCCTGCGATATGTCACTGTCTTCAATCGCGTAAGAGACATCGTCGATGGTGTTTAATTGAGCGTCTGCCAACATTCGAATTTGGTCGTTTTTTTTGGTTTGTGGGACAGCCTGCGACTGGTGTATTTTAATATCGCATAAGCACCAAACGCACTGATAGCGATGCCTTCCATCACTAGTCCCACGGGCCCGGCAATGGCTCCCAAATGGCGGAATTGCCAATGGCTGCCGAGGTAGCACCAATCGCTTCGACACCGTACTCCACGTAACCGAGTGAGGTAAGTATCCGTTTAATCTTTTTGTAGCTAGCCTCGCGCGCGTCGCGTTCTCTTAATACCCGAGATTTAATTTCTTCGATCTTTCTGAGCCTACAAACTTTAGTTTCCACCTGTTCGACCGAGTTTAATTCTGGGTACTTTCCCAAATCTGGAAATACGTTAGTCGTCATCTTTTTATCGTATACGCGTTTCAAAAAAATGACTAACACGATTAAAATTTGCCGATATTATTCAAGAGCTCACCTCGCTCGTTTTTAACAGAAAAAGTCGATTCATTGATGTTTCTGTCTATTAACTTTTTAGGCGTTTTACACGTTACGGGTGTTGAGTTGCACGGCTCGGTAGCAATCACGTCTAGCAAGTCTAAAGACTGCCCGTTTTAAAAGTTGTCAAATGTAAATAAATGTTTGCAATGAATAAACTCGAGTTTCAAGGGGTTTAAATCATACTTGCCTTCATACATAACGCTGGGCAGAAGTTTTATTTTGGGTAAGTTAAACAGCTTAGACACTTCTTTATTTAGTCGCAACTTGAGATTGGGGTCCGTAATGGCCAAAGTCACCCTTTTCGATTCTGAGTGAACCTTAAAAGACACGCCAGGGCTCGAGTTTAACAAAAAGTCAAAACCAGTCCATGTTATAATAACCGGAAGACACCACGATGCTTCCTCTTCGACCCTCGGGTAATGGTTGAGATGAGCTTCAAGAATGAAGTCTATCGTATACAGGTTCTGTTAGCCCCGTCAAAAAAGTCTTATAGTTAATTTTTTTCTGGGTCTTGTGGATTGTACGGGGGAGTTTGTTATAGGTCGACTTGGGGGATTCCCTTCATAAATTTCATCCAAGGCTTGTCTCTGCCCCTCGAGCAATGAAACTGATCTGATTTTTTTACTGTCGATATCATAAGCTAAACGAGCCCGCGTTTCTAATGGTTGTCTTTGCTTTAACTACGCTTCTAAAGTTGTGGTTTCTTGGTTTAGCTGCTCAATTTCATCAGCGATGATTATGATTTCTTCTGCTAAAGTGCCTTTTTTATTTGCTTGGATCAATCTGGTTTCAGCTGTTTTTACTAATATATATATTGGGAGATACTTCCCTTCTCTCCTCTGAAGGTATTCCAGGCGATCTTTCGCCACTGACCCCCGGAGGCTTACCGTCCAAGTTTGTTTCCCATCAATTTCAGTAGCATTTGTAATTTTAAAATATCCAGCTTCAAACTGAATGTTCTTTACTCTGACGACTTTGCCGCCTTTGTTGTTTTTTTTATGTCATCTTTCAATTTAAACGTCTGCTCGCTTTCGGTTAAGTAAAAGTGTGAGTCTCCATTTTATTACATACGTTTTGAAAAATCTTGTTTGGCAAGGTTTAATTTATCAAAGGCGTCGTTCCAGTGTTTCTCCGAAACTTGAAATAAGTCTTTTAATTTAGATTCAGCTTCCCCGGTTGTGTGTTGGTAACAAACCGCGATTAAAGCCTTCAAAGGTTTACCTCTAGAGATCTTACCATCTAAAACTCGGTTTTACACATATTTCTATGTTGCCCGCTTGTTCGACCGTCAATTGAAGGTTAAACTCTTTTAAAGTTTTTCTCGATTTTGGTGGTGGTGGTGTTTTTTGTTCAAAATGTAACGCTGGTAATATTTACCACCAGCGTTTCCTGGTGCGTATGAATAAATCTGAGCGAGCACTAAACCGCAATTTTGGCATACATATTTATAATCCATTTCCATTACGTTATTGTGCAGGCATGTATTTTTTGGTCGCGGTGGCGGCAATTATTATACCCGTTAATTCATAAATTTCTTGATCTGTCATTGTTTTTAATAAAAGTGACGTAAAAATAACCTAAGTTATTCCTAGGAATAGCTGAGGCATAAGTCGTTAATTATTCGAATTTAATCCACCTTTAATTTCACGGGGGATTGTGGTTCAGATTCAAAATTTTCAAATCCGCGAAACACTTGCAACGCCGACTTATTTGAAATTAGACCGTCGTTTCTAATTTTCAACATTGCCGCTGTCACTCTATACCGAACGCTGGTGCTGCACGACAGTGAACCGTAAGTACCGTAGTATGGAGAAATAAGATTGTGCGTCACATCTCTTATTTATAAATTTCTCGATATTTGACGAATCAATGTTTTTTTTTCGGTGATCAAATAGGGAGGCATAGCGATCTATTTTAGCGTACATTTGGTGCTTGTCCGTGTAAGGCTGTTTAACGACGTATTCTATTTTATTAAGGTCATCAATGTCGCGACTGGCTTTATAAGCGTTTATGGTATTAGACGGGAGATTAGACCCGGCGTCAGCTCGGGTAAACGGCTAAATTTATGTTATCGAGTATGCTCGCGGTAGTTGGTTGTACTTGACAACAGATTTGACGCCCTACTAAACTTTCCGGGATTTTATCTCGAGTGCCGTATTTGTAAAGCTTTTTTATACCTTTACATGGTTCTATCGTCATAATCAACAGGCGTTCATTTTGACCGCTGTAATGATAAAAAAATAGGCGAGCTGCATTGACTCACGTGAGTGCCTTCTTTAATCACGGGTTTTGAAATGATTAATTTACTCGGGTCAAAGGGGCCATAGGTGACATTGGGATCGCAGTTGTCGGCACTGAGACGCTCGTGGTAGTCTGAAACGATATATACTTGAGTTGGCATGGTTATGATTTTCCCGGCTTTGTCATAGAATTTTCTCATTTTTATTCGGCCGCGTCTATTAACTCGGGCGGGATTTCTGCTTTCATTAAATGTTCAACGTCAACGTCGTATTAAATAATTAGTCCAATTTCGTATAAATCAGAGTCGAGTTTAGTCGCTGCATCGGGCAGTGAATCGTTTTCTAGCGCGAGCCGCAGCTTTTTCTGCTTGCCATTTACGAGTAACACGTGATCCTTTTCTTCCAACTCGACACAATTTACGCAGCAGGTGCAAGCAATGCCACCAAAACACTCTATACAACTGCTGCACTCGTAACAGTCTCTGCAACTGTCCAACGCACTTGAATTTTGACGGTCGTATGAATTTAAACAATATACGCAACTTATACACCTGCCGCACTCGTCGCCAGTGGAGCAGTGATTACATCCGGTGCAGTCGTTGCATTTGTGACAATCGTGGCATTCATTACAATCGGTACATTTGCATAAACGTTCGGAATTTAAACAACGAAAGCAATCGTACGAATCGATCAAGTCAATTGAATTTCTTGTGTCTTTGCAAAAATAACAATTAACATTCGTTTTATGGTTTATCATGTTTTTTATAATTTTATTTCTATTTTCATCTCAATTTTTTAAGCGGCGCATAAATCATCGGAAATAGATATTTCTTCGGCTTGTACACTTGTTTGCCGGTCTTAGTCTTTCTCATTAAACAAAAGCAGTGTCTTTGATTTCCACGTCCAGCTTTGCCTGCGAGATTAAATCTTTTTGCGATTTGTAGCCGTTGGCGATTAACCACGCTGTGTGTGCAGCGACTAATTTTAACTGTATTCATATTTGGTGGCGAAAGTTACATTCATTTGATATTAGAAAAATGTTGAAAAATTTATCTAATTTTTTTCCCCCCGGCACCTCCAGTATTTTTCCGGCGATGAAAAGTCCCGGGGGAAAAGTCCCGCTTTTGTGTGTTCGGGGCTCCGCGATTGCTGTTCGGGAAGTCGGGCCCACAGGGTTTGGGGGAAAGTCCCTGCTGCGCAGGTAGGTGAGTGAAAATACCTGTTTCTCTTTAACTTTCCCTTCCCTACTACTCGCCAAGCCCCGATTCACGGCCAGACCCATACAGCAGAACACGGTGGGCCGTTGTGTTTCGAACGCACACACAGCATTTAAAACAAAGGGCTACCCGTGATCCCGTTCAACGGCCACACAGAACACACTACAACAGTTGGTCACACCAAAACCTCTAAATAATGTACAGAAAAACGGGTAGAAAAGAACAACAAAAATACAAAATACGAAAATAAGCACTCTTAGCAATAGATACGAAATAGTTCTTTATTTGTAATCAGAAATCAAGTTAATTCACCAACACGAAAGGTTATGGAACTCGAAAATCTAAAAATGCCACAAAGACACGTCCGTAAACGATAGGCGCTGAGAACAAGGATTAACATGGCGGCGGGACAACAGTGCATTGTGTACGCAAAATCAAGTCTTTTTAGAGAACTACAATAGGGACGCTGGAAATTTGTATGTGTAAGCTGGGCAGGGGTAAGTGAACGCAAGGAATCAAGTCAATCGCTGGAGACACAAAGTTTAAAGGAATATAAATTTCTCAATCACATTGGAGGAAAAAAATTTCTTCGACAAAGGACAGGGCCAATGCTCAAACCATGGAAGGACACAAAATTCCAACAGAGACACATAGACAAGGTAAGCTTCTACAAGTACATCTGAGAGGTGTGAGTTTTTACGCCAAATTGCACACATTTCTCACGACACACACTTCTCACATGTACTTATAGAAGCTCCCAAATCTGCAGGAAGTTTCTATGGTACATTCACATACACCTACATGTACCTACACGTACCACATGTGCTTGCACTTCCGCTGAAAGGAACATCAACACTGCACACTCCATGACAATAGAGGGATTCTATCTGTAACTTGTCCCATTTCATTTTTATGGCTGATCTAGTAAATAGGCTATTAACACAATTACTCTGGAGCAAATCCGTGCAGATTTGGGAGTTTCTATTACATAAGACGGCATGAAGACCTGTGATGCTGTGTGGATCGGCCAAAGGGAAGACACTGAACTGGAAATGTCTGTCCTTATAAATGAAAAATTTGATGAGTTTTATGGATGCGATGTTAAAATCCTGGCTTTTTCAGGGCTTTATAAAACAATATAACAGTTATTTGCCAGTACCGCAATCAAAAATAAAGCATTATAAAGATGAACAAAGAAACTGACTGGAGCAGAATTTGAACCTATGACCTCCGGAACACCGTACCAGTGCTCCATCAACTGAGCTATCCAGCCATATGTTGGTGGCTCTTCCAATTTGTCAATATCTTTATTCAGGGGTGCTAGGCAGAGGCTGAAACCTGAAACATAATGTAGCCAGGGATCATGCCACAATGACACAATACAACCTGGGAAGTGGCGAACAGGAACTGAGGGGTACAGAGGAAAACGTTCATGACAATTAAAGTTGACATTGTTTTTAGATATAAATTATAAGTAATAAAATTTACCACTGACGTGAGCACAGTCACTTCATTTCTGCTGGATAAATGTAAAAGAGCTGTTGTACGCATGCTTCAATACAGTAACAAAGCTGTGTTGAATAATACTGTCTGTAAAATGCAGCTCAGTGATAATCCTGTAAAGTAAAATAAATATGGGGAATTAAAAGGGTGTGGAACACATTACTCAAATTAATGGAGTAAGTTGGCAGTTTAAAACAGCTACACGCATGTCAAAATACTGTTTAATTTATCAAACTAAAGTTTACTGATTTATTAACACAATGTGTTGAAAAGATGAAATAGGCCTGTTTGATAATTTTAGTTGGTAATCAAGAGCCCGGGCCACTTTAATCTGGTAAAGTACATGCACCCTGTAGGAAGCAATGTCTTGGCTGGATTTTTAATTTCTCAGTGACACAGAATGGCCAAGGGCATGTTTTATTTTTAAGGGCCATGATGACCTGTAAACCCCAAAATAGAGAAAACTACAAACTTGCAAAAAATACATGTATATTAACTCCCTGAATTCCCCAAAATGATACTCCTTATACCCCTTACCTGAAACAATTCTCCCCCACAGCAGTTTTGGGCAATGCCTACCCTAACAGTCGCTACATATGCAAGTTTCCTTTCACACCTTTTGCCAATTACTAAAATATTGATCACCTGTAGTGTGCCCCAAGAAGCAGTGCAGCATCAAAGCCATGTTTGTCCTCCTTTGTCAGAGCACAACATCAGAGGCAGAGTGGGGCGGATGGGTGGTCGTCACAGACTGTTTGGGTACTCCCTAGCGGACTCCCCTGCACTGCTATGGGGGAGGAGTCCACTGCACTTATCCTACCCTAACAGTTACTACATCTGCAGAGTAGTACTGTACCCCTGAGGGTTGGCACTGAATCTGACAAAAACTGTGATTATTAATGGCTAAGTTAGGAAAAATTAAGGAAGAAACAAGTGGAATACGTGTATTCAGGACTCACTTAAGTGAGGAGGCCATCACATAGAACTGGAGGTGGCCCACCCCGGCAAGGGTTCTTGAGGTCTCGGAGCAGAGGAAAGGATTGTCTTGCCATGGGAACAATCTCTGTGCAAGAACATCAATCAGGTAGCATAAGGGGATGTTGAGGGTGTCTTCCAACATATGTCCTCCATTGGGATACCTCACAAGTATGCCAATGAGATAGATACTACTCTGATGTTATGAACTTTTATGTTATGATGTCAAGGCCTCTCAGAGAATCTGCAGGAAGTGAGTGATGTTTTCAAGGCTACCGTGATTTTCAAGGCTACCGTGATCAACAACGAACAGAGCAGGGTCAACATTGTCCCTCTTAAGGAAACACATCTGCCCTCATCAGGCAGCATTAGGGAAATGGACTTAACCTTCTTTTAGCAGGGCAAAGCTTCCCAAAGAGACCAGGGAGCATGGCGTTAGCTTTGCCATCAAGATGTTCTAAACTTTGATAAAGTGGTGGATTTCATGGTCTGTAGAGATTGGCCATTCAGCACTGGCGGTCTTGATGGCCCATCTAGCTATAATGGGCTTTTATGAAAGTAATGAAGAGCTCAGACGTTGTACCTCTCAGTTATAGCCAGATACCATTTCAGAGTTCGAACAGGACACCACGGTTTGTCATCAGGGGGGCCCGAGTGTTTTGCGATATCAGGAACAAAAATGTCTGGAGATGGGAACAATTCTAATTGGTTCTTAGTGAGGAAGCCCAGGTCACAGATGAATCGCATGCCATGTGGCTCCCATTTGATGTGACTGTCAGTGATAACATCCGCTGCTCACTGCCTGTGAGTGAAGTGGAAAACCAGCTTCACTGATGTGTGAAGTAAAGAGGCCTCACCAAGGGGCCTATTTTTTAGGTGGGGGATGTTCAATGAACATACCATGTAGAGGGTGCTTGAGGTTATTGTTGTCCGATAGAGAGGAAACAATATGGAAAACTGCCGTGTATAGCTGTGATGGCAGAATGGTAGTAACACATGGTTGCTACCTGCAGTCCTGAGATAAATTAGTGCAGGAAAAAGGCAGCAACTGCAGTTATAGATGCCCTGGTTGGAGCCACACATTGCCCTTCACAACAGGAAGTAAACTGCTACATTCTGCTGTTGTAGACTTTTTGTGGATTGATTGGCATCGCACCTTGTGGCCATTTAGGGAGCTTTGCTGGATGATCACCAGACAATGGTCAACAGGTCAAGTGCAGGTCTACTGGCTGTAGGAACAGAATATCGGACCTTAGTTGAGGGAGAAGGTCTGGTCTGAACGTGAAGATGAGAGGGACCTGTACTAGTCAGTCCGGGAAACCAGGGTTGACGAGGCCAGAACGGAGCGATGAGAAGAACACAGCGAAGCTCTTGTTTGATCTTGGATGACAAGATTAGGGATTAGGGATATTGGAAGGAAGGCATATGCAAGTATACCTTCCCTGCTGATACGGAGAGCATCTGTTGCCTAGGCTTGCGGATGAGGTAACCTGGTGCAGAAAACTGGTAGCTGAGCATCTTCTGGTGAGGCAAAGAGGTCAAACTGAGGTCTGTCAAGTGCCTGCAAGATTGATTATGCCACGTTGCAGTGCGGAGCCCATTCTGTTGTGTAGATCCTTAATTGGGAGAGGACGTCTCCAATGGAGTTGCTGGTACCCAGGATATAGGTTGCCTGTAGGTCAATCCCGAAGTCTAGTGTCAAGAAGCAGAGGCACGGTGAGTACCATACCCGGTGGGTATGGTGGCCAGCACTTTATGTTCCTACACATGAGTGGTCTGGACGTAGATCTGGAAAAAGTGGTGCCGTGGCTTCCAGTCTGGCCTCATGGCGTTTGAAGGAAGGTGTGACTTGGAATGCTCCTTGGATGGTGACACGCTGGGTAGACCCAGGAACTGAATCATGCCTTTCTGGAGTAGAAAAGATGGGCCTCCATAGGTGTAAGGCTGAACTGGGTCTTGTGTATCTCTGGAGAGATTATGTGCAGGCTTGGAAGGTGGATTGAATGACTGCTTTATTATTCAAGCCCGCACTGACAGCTGATGTGTGTCCACATTGGTCAGAAAAGGTCACAGAGGGCAGATGCGGATTGGTAGACAGAGGGTCAGGATCCGGAGCTATACCGTGTGTTGTAGGCTTCGGATCAAGGAGGCTGACCAGCAAAGAGAGTGTCTCAGAGGACTGGAAAGCAGTAATGATAGCCAAAGGAGACGCATCTCAATGTTAGAATGAATCCGCCTGCTTACTGCTTGACCCAGTGGAAGAAGACAAAGATCTTTTATGTTTCTTATGCACAAGAGAGCTTGCGGGAGAGTTTGCAGACAAAGCTGGATGGGTGGAAGCGGTGGAAGAATAGTCTATCTGCGGTTCACACTTGGAAGGAGGATGTGCATGAGAAGCCATGGTGTTATTGTGATTGGAAGCATTCTTGCTGGAGAGCCCCAAGGAGAAGCAGGCGGGTGGAATGATGTGGGGTGTGTGGAAGCTGTGGTGACATAGCATACAGGTGGGTTTGGTTTCCCGGAATGCGGACTGCAGAGATGCGGTAGTGGATCCACATTCTGACGGTGCTTTCACCCAGGCCATGCTAGGCAGTGGTGGAGAGTCAGCACAGGGAGCATCATTGCCTGATTCACACCTAGGTGCCACTGTAGAAAAGATTTCAGATGTCGGTGGACTTACGAGTGAAGAGGCTGTTCAGAGCTGACGGGTCAGGCTTGGACCCACCTCTCCGTGGCACTTGGAGAGCCTTTATCAGTGACAAAGTTATTTTTCCCAGTAGGCTGTAGTGCCAAGTGCTGCTGTTCTAGGCTATTTTCCCTCTCTCATCTGCCGCCCGACCTCCGCTCTCCGGCCAGGACCGTCGGCTCCATCCTCCACATAAGCAAGGTAGGGGGGACTGATGGGATGTCAACTTGGTCAGTAGCTCGGCGTGTGGCTCAGTGGTGAAGCTCTAAGTTATCGGGTATCCGAAATGAAAGTTAGCACCCCAGTAAAGAGGTGGGAAATGTAAGCGTAGACCAGGTTAAATAGCCACACCTGACCCTGGTTGTCTGAGCTAATAAGAGTCGCCCGGTTGACCCTACAAAGGAACTTCATAGACGGAATCGCTCATAGAATCAACATACAATGTAGGATTACCTAGATATATGCACATAGACACACGGAAAAGACAAAAAGACATACACATAAGGGGTAAAGATGCAGAAGGAGTCTATATATCACAACAATTTGACACAAAAATCATCTAAAATGGCAGGGGGAATACACATGGGAAAAAACACAAGTGGAATGAAAATGATTTTTTTAGAATACATTACAATTGATCAGATTATCACAGAAGATTTAGTGAAACAAAACTCAAGAAATTCAAAGATACCAAAAATGACACGCCTGTTGGCAATGGCACTGAGCAAAAGGATGACCATGGCGGCAATGCTGTTTGTGCTTTGCAGTACTAGAGGCTGCATTACAGTTGATCAAGTTTTCAGCAAATAGCAAAAGGCGTGAAAGGAAATTTGCATATGTAGTGACTGTTTGGGTAGGATGAGTGTAGTGGACCCAAAGAACTGGGGGACACTCAGCCAACTTGTCTATGAATTAAAGATTCAATACTTTGTAACTGAATGTAACCCACCTATGGTAAGAAAAATGCCAGCAACATTTGCACACATCTCTCTGTCTTCATCTGGAAATCCTCCATCAGTCCTTATCAAGTAGAATACATTCACATACACTGCTCCCCTAAGTCCACCAGCTACGACCATTAAAGCTGGCAAAAGTGCTTCTGGAAGAAATTTGAACTGGAGGAAACAAAATGATTACTTAGACACATTAAAAAAAAATTAAAACCAAACTGGACTGAACCTAACCTCAAACAAGGCCCTCATTTTATTCCGAACACGTTCACTCCAAATTTAGGGCTATGCCAAAAATGAAAAGTCTGTGTGTTTGTACAATGCACCATTCTCTACCAGAGAGCAGACAAAATGTGGTACAGAATACAGCCTTATAGAAATGTTGTGCATGGACACTGTCTCAATGACATCATTACTGAGCAGCCTATAAGTGAATTATTTGTTAGTGCTTTAAAATACATTAGTTGAAAAAATACTGAATTCTCCTTCTTGTTAAAAGAAGTTTTGAAATCACGTCCTCTGGTGTAAACACGCTGATGTAAACTTTCAATGAATGCAACTCCATTTGATTTGCACTGGAAGCCAATCAAATGTACATATTATGCCTAATTATCCCCAATCAATAATTTTGTTTTTAAAATCTGAAGGTGCTAATTTGTTTTTTACATGATCAAAGTCACTTTTCTAGTTTTGAAAAATGACATCCGGAGTTGCATTTTGGTCCATTTTATGAAGAACATGCCTTATGATGATTTTGTTCTGGGAGCCTCCTTACATAGTGGACTACGAGTCTACACAAACATGAAATCATTTAGATTGACCACAGTCCCGAAGTCTGGCTGTTGAAAAACATGTACAAAACCTACGGGGAAAACTGAAATATTCAACAATCAATAAAAAATCACAGATAACATCATCATAAAGTCATAAATTTGGCATTAATTTTGCATTAGGGTCATTGCTGGCTGTAACTTTGATGAAGATTGAATATCGCTAAGTAACCGAAATTGTGCCTGGAAAACGTGTACAAAGTCAATGGACTGAAATAAATATTGAAAAATCAATAATAAATCACTTGACGTCACAATGACATCATTGTTCTGGGACCACCTATGCATAAGGGCCCTTCATTGGTACAAGTTTGATGATTGCATTTGTGCATTTTCTTGGCAGAATAGCGACTTTATTTGCTTACTTTAAGTGAAACTTGGCTTCATGGTGATACATGTAGGCTTGGCAAGATCATAGTCATGAGTCTTGCACATCACACCTTTTTTTTAATAAATCTTCTTAAAAATAAAACAAAACCAAACAAAACCAAACAAGCAAACACCACAACAACCCGAATGAAACAAAACAAACAACAAAGTAGCATATGCACAGCATGCTAATGGAATTTCAAGTTGGCAATTTATATTTTAGGGGTTTTTTGTCTGCAGCGCTTCATGTGTGTGAAAAAGTACACCATTTATGCACTTCATGCAGCTGACTCCAATGTTTTAGCTGTCATCTCGTGCACAATTCACGCTTTTATCGCTTACGGTTGATTTTTACTGAATTTTGAAGAATAAAAGAAGTTTTTATTGTAAGTTCCGGTCTGATGACGTCATCAGCCCTAAACTTCACACACGTGTTGCTTGGGTCAAGATGGTCATCTACATCAATTTTCAGGATTCAGACAAACCTCGCCACAGACATCCATTCAAGATTCATTTTTCGTAATTTTTAACCTTGTGGCTAGAGGGCGCTCAACAATTACATAACGTCATCAGTAGATGATATGAAGACTATACCCCAACAGACTAACACTACTGAAAACAACTTGATACCTATTACCACTTTTAAACAGTAAGACAACTACCGGTTTCTACAGGAAGGAAGGGTCACGTGATTTGACCCACACAAGATGAATTGAAGACCACATTTTATCCTAGCACTTGGTGGAAACAGATTGTTGCGGGAGGCCAGGGCCGATGTTATATGGATTTTTATATATTTAACGGAATATCTAAATATTCAAAATTAAATAATAAATCACGTGATGATGTCATCATGACGTAAATAACTCAGAATTATCTTTGTTTTATAGTTAGCACTTGCTGCAAGTTTGACGATGATCAACGATTACTAAGGTACAAAAATAGTGCCTGAAAAAGGTGTACAAAGTCAATGGGCTAAAATAAATATGTAAAAAATAGATGACAAATCACTCAATGATGTCATCATGACGTCATGTTTCTAGGACCATCTATGCATAAGGGTTGTTTATTGGTACAAGTTTGATAATGATCCAAAGTTGCAAATGCACTAAAGTCACCGGTAGAAAAATGTGTACAATAACTTTTGAGCAGAGGAAAATCAAGAAGCAAAAAAAAAGAACAAAAAGAATGCCTTTTTCGCAAATGAAACCACATACATCATCTGTCCCTAGACAGAATTTGTCTTTTCTCTTAATGATTTATTAAGTGTTATTTTCGCTGAATTTTCCAAGTTATGGGCAATTCTATAAATTAGAGGTCCAATTTTTTGTGTCCCTGTCACATCTGACATATGAGTTTGTAAGTTCAGAACAAACTCTCTCATTTCCAAGAGTAATTAATTAATGCCAATTACCTGTAAAACAAATAAAAATAGTTTGAAATCAATATCAGTGACAATACCATGTCAAAGTACACGTCAGGTGTAACAGGGACACAAAAATGTCACACTTTTGGACCATGAATTTATAGAAAGTATGGTATGGTATGGTATTTTTAATGGTGACCAATTCACCTTCATAATGCCTGTATTACATGCAAGTCTACGGGACTTGGATAAAATTGTCTATTGGAAGCATGATATTCCAAGGTAATTTTCACTTGGAAGAAATAAAATGTTCAAAATCCGTTTACAATTCACTTGATAATGCCATCATGACATCATTATAAATATGTCATCTTATGTGAAAGTTGTTCCTATCTACATGTACTTGTTTTAATGTCAATTGACAAATGTCAAGTATGTGGATTAAAAAGTACCTTTTTGATAGTGTCACAAATAGCTTCAATTAGCACAAAAATCAAAGCTTCCCCCAAATGAAAATATCTTGTTTGTTCAGGGTAAAATGTTGAGCCAACTGGAAAAGTTTAAAAATCATGATGACGTCATCATGACATCATCCACAGTTTAATACGTAACATGTCTGGATTTGACGTTGCAAAAATTTCATCCTATCAGTAGATAGACATGTGGCTCTGACGACATGGCTGCAAAGAATTCAACTTGGCAGGCATGTCATGGGACATTTGATGACGTCATTACAAACCATTGTCATAATCTGCCTGGCACTGGTGTGTGGAGCAAGGTCCACATGCCAATGGCATATGGTGCTCTTACGTATTTTCCACAAATAGCAATAGTTGATCCCTCCCCCACAGTAGTGTGGGAGGGTCTGCTAGTGAAACCCTACTCCAAACAGTCGAAATAATATACAAACATCCTTGGTGCTTTATTTTATTCGCTCAAAACTTGATCAACTGTAGTGCATCCTCTATTCCCATAATGCATGGCAGTGTGGATGTCATGATCGTCGTTCTTTTTTGGTATGCTACTATCTAAGCCAAAAGTGGTGAGGACGGGTGGTAGCCAGCTGTTTGGGGTAGGTATTCACTAGCACACCCTCCCACACGTCTGTGGGGGAGGAGTTTTCTGCTTTCATTCTACTCCAAACCGCTGTTATAATATGTAGAGTAGCACTGTTCCCTGCAGCGGGGTTTGGACAAGGATGCACCATATGAGGGAAAGAAGTGTGTGCCTAGAAGTGAATATATAATATAGAAAGGAAGGTGCTTTAATGTGGACTTACCAAACACAGGAGCTGTAACGTAGTTCCAGTGTTGGTACGTCCCGATTAGAAGCTCCTTGGCATCAACGTGGTTGATGTCAGGACCGTCTTGCCATATGAGCAGTCTCTTTGCAGGGCATCAGTGAGATTGCATGAGGTAAACTTTGATGGAATCTTCCAGTATGCTGCCTTGCATATCTCTTCTGCATTGGAACACCCCAGAAGTAGACCCAGGAAGTAGATATTGCTCTGATGTCAAGGGCCCTGATGAGGTATTGAGTCTGATTGTCTGACATGTCCAGCCAGTCAGGGTTGACAAATTTGATGGTTGAGACCGCCCATCTGATTATAGTGCCCTTGGTTGCTACTCTGTGAAAATCTGCGATGTCATTTTCTCTCACTTCCTGGTTCCGAGCCAAGTACCATTTGAGAGTTCTTACTGGACACCATGGTTTTTCATTTGGAGTCAGGCTTGGCATTAATGGTTGTCTGATTTCTCGGGATTTCTTCTTTTGGGCAAGTAAAAATTGAGGACAAATTGCCTAATGGACTGGTACTTTTTATGAATTAAAAGTGTCAATATTTCATGGCCAGGAATAGCAGTCAGCAAATTTACCTTTGATTTGTTTCCTTCTCTTCACAAAGCTTATAAAAAGTGGTAAAAAGTAAACAGCTACTAGTATGTGGTGTTCAATGATTTTTTCTTGGTTACATACATGTTTAACCTCGCATGTGCAGTATAAAGCATGCTGTACATTTAGCAGGGCACCTATCCACACAAGTGAAAATGCGTACAAAAATAAAATACCCTTGTGTGGATATCAAACCTCATTGGTTATTGCAAGTGCGTTGCAACAGAGCTTTGATTGCTGGAAGCTCGAAGATTGTTTTACATGTAAGCTGTGACTTCACCATTAGACAATTTTTCCTGGTTGTTGTGTGTGCACTTTTTGAGTATATGACACCAGGCAAAAACATTGAGTGGTTAAGAAACAGCCATTACCAGAACTTGTGTTAATAATGCATCATAGTCCTGTGCACTCTCTGCACACACACAATAGTTGGGGGTGATGTATATTTATGTTGCTGGCATTTGGGCAAGTCAAATCTTACTCGGGCAAATAAATTTTCAGAGCAACTTGCCCAGTGGACAAGTAGTTAAAAAAAAATTAATGTTGAGGCATGTGTGGAGTTCCGGCATGTTTCATTATGTCCGGGACAACACAGTCCAACACCCTTAATACAAGCTCGGAGGGACTCTCCTATAAACCTCGTCTTAAGGTTAACCTTGTGTTATACGCGTCAATACTTATCCTATTCATCATCAGAGTGCAAGCCTGCG